CTTGACATCTGTCCAGGAGCAAGCAGCTTCATCTTGCTTCTATGGAGGAATTTGAGCTTGTGATGAGTAGCGCAGTGCATATCTCACATGCCATCAGGGCTCCTTAGTTCCACAGAAAGAACCCATGGGTTCTACAAGTTGGAGGGAAAACGATAATAACAACAAAAACATGCTGAGACGGATGAGATTCCACTATGTCTTTTCTTGTTTTTGGGTTATAGTAACAGTAACAAACAAAAGCCCCCATGTGTGTGGAGCGCTGACTTCAAGGAAGTCATTGCCTTCTCTCGAATTGTTTCTTCATTAGTAAATGGGGGTTGCTTATGGGATTCGTTGAGCCTCCAATGAAATGTCTATAAACATTTCCAATTAAAAAGCACTATCCTAGGACAGCACTAGTGGTGCCAGTATTTATTCTGGCCTTATGGTTGTACTAGATGCCTGAGAAGGTATCCTTTCATGCCCTAAAGTCTTTAAACTTGTATTTCCTCACTACTAAAATAGCACCTGCTTGGTAATAGTGCCAGAACATACAAAGCATAGCTAGTAATATTAATGTTCTATTCCAAATGTCCTATTCTTTATATAGGTCATTATATTTATGAGGGGCTCTGGTGGCACACTGATTAAGCGCTCACTGTTAGCTGAAAGTTTGTTCAGTGAACTTGCCAGCGGTCCCATGGAAAAAGATATGGCAGTCGGCTTCAGTACCGAGTACAGCCCTGGGGACCCGTGGAGCGGATGCATGCTGTCCTCGAGGTCCCTGCAAGTTGAAATGGACTGAAAGGCAAAGGGTGTGGTTTGGCGTTCGGTAATGTCCTTGTGGACGCAATTAACTTATGTCGGAGTCGTCATTCTGTGTCACATTTCAAATCTTCCTTGAAACCTTTAAAGATGATATGCTGTCCAATCGCTTTCTAGGACTGTTCTACGAATGAAATGCAAGTTGACTGAATGTTAACTTACTTCATGTTACTGTAGTGACTTTTACAGGAGGTTAAATTCATGCCACTAACAACAACAACAACAACACAACAACAACAACAAAGCAAACTCACTGCCATCGAATCGATGCTGATTCACAGCAACCCTACAGGACAGGGTAGAACTGCCCCTGTGAGTTTCTGAGAACTGTGTTTATAGAAGTAGAAAACCCTGTGCTCTCCTCCTCAGAGTGGCTGGTGGTTTTCAACTGCTGACCTGTGGTTAGCAGCCCATTGCCCAACCCAGTTTTCTACCAGGGCTCCTTTTGGGCATTAGAGGCAGTGAAAGCAGTTCTCTGTTAAGTTGAATATCAGCACCAACAACCCCAACCCCAGAAGTGGTGCCATTAAATCAGATACTCTCATACTGACAGGGCCCAGTGCTAGGAAAAGCCCTTTCAGATGGACCCCATGAGCGCACCAGACAGTCATGTGTCTCACATACGGCGTATTGCCTTCCACTTTGGTTTTGCTGTTAGGTGCCGGTTAGTTGGTTTCAATTCATAGTGACCCTCTCTGTCCGACAGAATCAAACAGCGCCAGCTTCCTGCACCACCTTCATCTTTCCAATCTGTCAAGGGCAGCAAGTAGTCAGTCTTGGACACAACTGCCCGTGGCATTTGGTTTTGAGAAACAGAAACCTCTGGTGTTCAGACAAGGGAATTATCAAACCAATGCGTCTCTGCAGGCACCTTTCCCCTCCTGTCCGCCTGCCAACCCATCGACTTGCGATGGAAGTAGGTGTGGGCTTGTGTTAGTAGACTAGAGAAACAAGTTCATAGACACTCATATGTATGTAAGAAAGAGCTTTATATACAAGAGAAATCAAAGATTGAGAAAACATCCTAGCCCAGTCCAGATTAAGCCCATAAGTCTGATATTAGCCCTTATGTCCGATACCAATCTATAACGACCTCTTCAGACTCACAAAACATATGCAATGACGCTGAATGCAGGAAGATCATAGGCCAGTGGGTGGAAGGTTTTGTGGAACCAGTGGCAGTGTGAGCATCTCAGAGCTGGCAGGCGGTCTTTATGTGGCTCCTCTGGCTCCAGAGCTCTAACTCCATGTGTCTTATCAATGGAGATGTCTCACAGGGAGTGAGCATGTGTCTCACCTCCAGCGAGCTATTTGTCTCCTTAGCACCTTCAAATGAGGTTCTCAAGATGTGACCTGATTGTCAGGCTAAACTCTACCCCTTTACTCTTAATCCTTTCAAATTGACAACAGATTATGTAATTACCACAGTGCTCCTCCCTTTTTATTGTCTGTTTCTCTCCTAAATTAAACTCATCCCCCTTTTGCTAATCTCTCATGCACACAAAAATCATTCTTCTCATCTGTTTTAATGTTTGGTCATTAAAGAGACAAAATCTCTTTATCTGCCTCTTTCTATATCTTGACTTCCTCTTTTGATTCAGGGTGTGAGTCAAAGGACATCAATCATTATAACAGTTTTATGAAGTTGGGTCTTAGGGTTGGCCAAGGTACAAGAGAACTATATAAATGTTGACATTTAAGGGCATATCAAAAAGTATTGTTACTGGGGTTCCAGTTTTACATATGCCCAGGTTTATTTAAACAAATGAAAACATATTTTTGTGGTTCCTCTGGCTGCAGACAAGCTCTATTGACTTAGTCTCATTAGGATGTGTTCCCCCCTGCCCCCCCCCTCCAAAATTGGCCAATCAAAACGGAAATCTGCTGGTCTAGTTATATTCAAGGCAGAGAGGTCAGCTCAGAAGGTTATGGTGAATATATATTTCTGAGATTCCAAAGGGGTAGTCTTGATCAGTTTTTCTTGAAGTACACAGTATGATGCTGGGGCTCTTTAGGAAGAGGTTTTCTGAAAATGGACACCAGTGCATCGGTGAGATAGAGGTGAGGCAGCTGTGCCAAGGATTCTTTTTGCTTTCCCCCACCGAGGGTGGCCAGGGCTGTCCTGTGAGCGTCTCACTAGGCAATCTGACCTCATCCACCGTGTTGCCCTGGTTTTTCTACTTCAGACTTAGGTTTGTGCCTTAAGCTCCAAAGAACATTTAAAAGGATCACGAATTGAGCTCCTGAGGAGACCAGCCTGCCGTTTTGATGTGATGTCAATGAAGAGCGCAGAGTTCTTCGGGGAAGCTCCTCAGTCAGAATGTCGAGACCTAAATAGAAGGAATGCTGAGGAACAGTGGACTTGTGTTTTGCCATGTTTTTGCTTCGTGCATGTGCCTGTGATGTTGTAGTGATACTTTTGGACTTACACTCATAAAAAGAGATCACAAGGAGCTTGGTGCTGTTAACGACGGAACTTTCAAACCACCCTGAAGGGCTTCATAGACTCCCTAGCAGTCTTGCTTCTCTAATGAAACCTGCTTCAAGCACTAGGCTGCAGGATGCATTTTAAAAACATTCCCCAACTGTGCTGTCTTCCTCTGTTTGCATTGACGATGCTTCATGATGGGCCCTTCCTTCTGTCGTGTTTGGGGTGATGGGTAACTGATGGGTAACGTTACTTGGGCTTTGAGATGAGCTGTCGTGAGCCTCAGCGACCCTGCTGTCCACTCTACTCTAACCTTTGACTTCAGATCCCGTCGTTCCTTGTGTTCATCGGGATAAAGTAAGTTATAGTACGCTAATAGATAAACTCTGTAATTTCCTGGCCTATTGAACACAGTAGGGATTTGTTTCCCAGTTCTTATAGTGTGACAGGCCAGAGGAGCCTCCTCCACGCGTGCTTGGGTCATCGGGAAAGGTGAGCACTGCACTCTTTGCAGGAGGAGGAAGCACACTGGGTGTGAACCGCCTGCCTTCCTGCCCAGCGACACCAGTCACCCTGTGGCTGTAGCTGGAAAATGGAGGGGAAGAGGAACCACAGAGGTGGCGATGGGGGTGGAGGTGGTGGGTGGAGGCAGCGGTGCTGGTGCTAATAATTGTGTCTTTCGTTTTTGTTGTTCTTGTCCTGAGTTTTGAATTCGGTTCTTGTTTTTAAAGTTTGATTCCTTTACCTCTCTTTTCAAGTCCTTTCTCTTGAGTTTGAAGCAAAACCAAGCATCATTTTGGTCTGATCCGCCACACCTCTAAAAAATAAAACAACCTCTAAAACCAAACCCACTGCAATAGAGTCGATTCAGACTCATAGCAATGTTACCTAGGGTTTCCAAGGCGATAACCTTTCACAGAAGCAGGAGAACGTCACCTCTCTCCCTCTCGGAGCGCCTGGTGGGTTTGTGTACTCAGCAGCATGTCCAGGGCTCCTTCCTTTGACCCTGAGGCCCCGGATCATGCCGTGTGTCCTCTGTTGTGCCTCTCCCACACTTCACGTCATCCCTCTTTCCTCTTTGCTTCCCAAGACCTTTGATGTATTTATGTAAATCTAACTTGCAAAGCATTACGAAATCAATTGTTGAAATTCCTCATTTTTATCCAGTCCCCCTATTTTCCAAGACTTTGCAATGACTTCCTTATTAAATCTTAGTCATCCTTGCTCAGCCCTAATACATCCCAATGAGTCCCCTTCTCCTCCTAGATGACGTCGGAGGTGGCTTGTCAGGAGCATTCCCTCACAGACAGCCCGGGGAACTGTGTACGCATGCTCGGAGCTGTCCTTTGTTCTGAAGTAGCAGATCCCTTCAGCACATGAGCCAGGGCTGGGCAGTCTAGTCTAGTACAGGTATTGTGAGTGCCTAAAAATCTGATTAATGCATCTCCCCTTGTAAAGCTAAGGAATTCATTTTCTGTATGTATTTGATAGATCATTCAGTTTCTAGGTGAAAATAATATCTGTAAAATGCAAGCATAAGATAGATGGAAGCAGACTTTGCAACGAGAGCAAAATCATGCATTTTACTTTGGATCGCCGCATGAAGAATTGTAGCATATATCTGTATGCCACTTAGAGTAAAAGCTAAATTATATTCAGGTCTTGTTGAGTGACTGTTGTTCCATTGGCCATCAAGAAAAGCTTCCAGGGAGCTGTCTGGGCAGCATTAATGATTTGGTTATAATGAGTGTTTTCTCATTTCACGCAGCTTCCTCCAGCCTTGCATCACAATTTGAAAAGAAGGGTTATAGAAAGATTCAAGAAATCCCTCTTCAGCCAGCAGAGTAACCCTTGCAATTTGAAATCTGAAATTAAAAAGGTACGGTATTGTATGCATAGGGATTCTTTTGGTGAATAAACACACTATACAACTTGTATTTTATTTCTCTTTTATTTTAGACTTGAAACCCTATCTCTGTTAAGGGATATTACCACTGCTTAGGATATTCAATGGAGGATACATCGTTGCCTCTAATTTTCTTACCTCTATTTCTGTAGCAATCATTGTCAGAAGATTGCTAGAAAATTCTTTGACCAGTATCGCATATTTGCCTAATACCAAGTGTTATTGGAATAGTTTTCATTTAATACATATTTTATCACCTTTTAAGAATGTATTGCAGCATTTTATTAGAACGGTACTCAGCAAGCTTCTAATGGAAAGTTTGGGGCTGAATGTTAGCCCCTAGTAGGGTTTGTCACTCTGAACAAGTCATTTCATCATCCGGAATCTTGGTTGTTGTTTTTTAAATTATTAATCATGGGGGTTGAAGGTTCTTTCCATCTTTGACTTCTAGAGCCTTCTAAATCTGGGGTACCAGTAAATATGTCTGTTGATACAGGTAAAAACTAGATCAGAGACAGGGAAAGTAACCAGATGGGAAGGGAGAAAGAAAATCGTTTACCTGTGGGGTATATTCAGTGACAGGGAGTCCCTCTGTCCTGGCTCGTGGCCATATTGGATGCAGCCCTGGAGGCGGCTGTCACCATCTCTCAGAGTCTTGTGTTCCTGAAAGGCTCTGGGCATTAGCACTTTGAGGTCCCTGACTAAAGAAGATGGGTCTCACCCTAGTTTCGTCTTTTTGAATTGTGTCATATACTTAAATTTGGCTTAGTGATGCCATCAGTGGGTTTTTCTGTTAAGGTTTCTTTTTTCTCCTTCCTGAACCCATGCTTACTTAACCCATTCCCTTCATTATTCAGGAAATACAATGGACTCTTGGATACAAAATGGAAACAGTACATTTTTGCTTTGTTGTCTAACAGCATCAGTACATGCATACACACACACACACAAACACACATTCACATACACACTCACACTGACTCATGCACACACCACAAACAGACACACACAAACACACGCTCACACAAACACACACATGCACACATAGTCACACTTACACACCACACACACACACACACACACACACACTCAATCAATCAGAGTTTGCGGTGTGGGTGGTTGAACACAGGTGCAGGTGAACCATGCATGAACCCCTTCATCAGAGATTAGAGAGTGGAGATTTCTTTCATGGCTTCTATTGGCAAAACGAACCCAGAAGCAAAGCAAGAGGCTATCCAAACAGAAGTGGAAGAGACCTCCATTACTTCATGATATTTACATAGTGTCTCCTGAGTTCCAATCCATTTATTTTAGAAACATTGAAGCTCCAATCTCCCGTTGTAAAGACCACATGTTGCTAGGCTTTAGTATTATTATTCAAATGGTATTTTGAATAATCCCATTTGCACACAAATGTATTTTTAACCTAAATCCGTTTTACAGGATGGAAGAAGTGCCTGTTGTCTTTCCTTTCTCCCTGAGAGAGAAGAGATTCACTTCAGTGAAATTGCCTTTCTCCCTGCCTCCTAGCCTGCCCTCCTGTCCATTGTGCCGCAAGTCTCCCTGGAGCACTTCCCTTCGGCTCCCCTGCCTCCACCACCCCCCTCTTGTGGTGGAGTGGCTTCTGATTCATGGCAGCCTGTGTGTGTATCATAGAAGCTATGGGCTCCATAGGGTTTTCCATGACTATTTTTATTTACTTATTTGTTTCCAGAAGTAGATCTCCAGGCTTTTCTTCCGAAGCACCTACCTCTGGGTAGATTTGAGCCTTCCGTCTCTCGATTAGCAGCCACAGACATAACCATTTTGGCCACCCAGGGTGTCCCAAGTCATTTGAGAATGTTTCACTTTTCCCGAGCAGAAGCACCTCCTGCAGCCAGGTGAGGGGAAATACAGGTGTGGGGGCATTCCATGAGCCCAGTGGAGAGAGACCCATCCTCATCTTTAATTTGGTTGAAAGGTAGAGAACACTATCTTCAGAAGAGTACCGTGGGTCTCTACACATGTAGTACAAGCTCGTGCTGGGAACATGTGATGGGGACCTCCAGGCTGGCCGGGGTCTCTATGTGGATTCTGATTCTGGGGCTACCAAAGGGGAACCCTCGGTTTCCAGGCTCAGCACATGACCCACACAACTATGGTCCTAGTGTTCCTGAGTCATCTCCCGTGACGGTGGATCTTGGTGTAGATAGACCCTCCTCGGCTGGGGTGGCAGGCCTCCCCTCCCGTGTGCTAATGACAGCTCTAACCTGGGAGATTCAAATCCTTCGTACTCTTCACCACTGAACCAAGAAGTTACCGCCTCCAGTTAAAACCTTTTCTTTTCTCCTTTGGGCTGCTAACCAAAAGGATAGTATTTTGAACCCACCAGCCACTTCTCAGGAGAGAGACTAAGCTTTCTACTTCCATAACGAGTTACAATCCCGGAAACCCGCAGGGCCAGTTGTACACTGTCCGGTAGGGTCGCTCTGAGTCAGAATTGACTCAATGTAGTGAGTTTGGCTTTGGGTGTCTCTTACTTGAGTCACTCTGTCAATCATGTGATTGTGTTCTACATAGCTATTAAACTACCTTCAAAGTCCACATGGAAGAAGCACACCAGCCTGTGTGATCACGAGGTGTTGATAGGATCAGGTATCAGGCATCAAAGAACAAAAAAAATCATATCATTGTGAATGAGGGGGAGTGCAGAGTAGACACCCAAAGCCAAAGCCCATTTGTAGGCCACTGGAGATCCCCTTACAGAAGCGTCGCGGGGAGGAGATGAGCCAGTCAGGGTGCAGTGTAGCAATGATGAAACATACAACTTTCCTCTAGTTCTTAAATGCTTCCTCCCCCCCCCCCCACCCCCAACTATCATGATCCCAATTCTGCTTTACAAATCTGGCTAGACCAGAGGATGTACACTGGTATAGATAGGAACTGGAAACACAGAGAATCCAGGACAGATGATCCCTTCAGGACTAGTTGTGAGAGTGGCTATACCGGGAGGGTGGAGGGAAGGTGGGGTAGAAAGGGGGAACCGATTACAAGGATCTACATATAACCCCCTCCCTGGGGGATGGACAAGAGAAAAGTGGGTGAAAGGAAATGCCAGACAGTGTAAGATATGACAAAATACTAATAACTTATGAATTATCAAGGGTTCATGAGGGAGGGAGGGAGGGGAAAATGAGGAACTGATACCAAGGGCCCAAGTAGAAAGAAAATGTTTTGAGAATGATGATGGCAACAACTGTACAAATATGCTTGACACAATGGATGGATATATGGATTGTGATCGGAGTTATAAGAGCCCCCAATAAAATGATTTAAAAAAAGAAAAACAACAACAACAAAAGCTGCCTTATTTTTCTGTTTGCCCTGAAGGGAGCAAGTGTGTCTTTTTGATCCTTGATTCCTCAGAGCATTAGTGCCCAGCTCACAGTAGGCATTCAGTACATAACTAGGGACACATTGGAAAAGTCCCCACCCTACCTAAGCCCAAACGAGAAGAATTTGTGACCCTGGGATCTCCCCATTTCTGGAATAACCCTTGGCGAAAGATCTTTTTTTCTTTTCTGGATTGGACTTTTTTCTTTCCTCTTTAGTCATGCAAGGTGGCCCAGGGGCACAGTAGGTGAGCACTCAGCTGCTAACAGAAAGATGCAGCAGTCAGTTTCCATTGGGATTGCTTTCCGTTGTTGGTGTTTTGTGCGCAATAGAACGACAAGTGGCCTGGCCCTGCGCCGTCTTCACAATTGGTAGGGTTGAGCTCACGGTTGCAGCCACCGTGTCTGACCATCTGGCTGAGCTACTTCTTTTTTGCTGACCCTTCTACTTTACCAAGTGTGACGTACTTTCTAGGGATTGGGCTCACCTGATAACATGGCCAGCATTCACGGGACAAAGGCTTGCCTGCCTCGCCCCTAAGGAGCATTCTGGCTGGACTTCTTCCAAGATAGCCTACAAAACCCTATGAGACCATTCTACGGCATCCTAGAGCATCACACTGAGTCCAAAGGGACTCAATGGCAGTGGGTGCCCTGGATGGCACACATCGTTCACATGCTTGGCTGCCAGCCAAGGTCGGCAGGCGGGATTCCCTGGTACAAGTGGGGTCTTCCTGAATTGGAATTGGCTCCTGGCAAATGGTCGCTCTTTACGGTGAGTGTGGAAGCAGGCAGCAGTGATAGTCCATCAAATGCCCTTGATGTTCACACTCCCCTTTGAAACATCTCTTGAACTCCACAGACCCTGTGTCTCCACTTTGGAGGACCTAGAGTTTGGAATGTAACACACATTTTCGATGAGTCCTATCTGTTCAAATTTACAAATGTCCTAACATGTCTACTAAAAAGAAACTAAGCCAGTGGCAATGAGCAAGCTCAGCATGCCCGGCTCCTGGAGAGCTAGCTGGTCACCACTCTAGGGCGGGAGCTGTGCGAGGTGAGCCTGCATTTTCTTGATGTAATGAGAGAGAGAGAGAGCAGGGATGCTATGACGGCCGACCGAGGCTGGGTCAGAGGGTTCAGTGCCCTCTTGAAGAGGCTTCCACTGGTGCTCCATGGGGGTAATTAGAGCACTGATAAGAATCATTACTGCAGTGGACTGAAAACATTAAATATGTTTAAGTCCAGGAGTTCATAATGACACTCAACGGTAATCCCTCCTTGGTTACCCTTGGAGTAACCTTGAGAGGTAGCCAACTCCTTATTTTGAAATTTATTTACAAAAGAAAATAACAGCAAGCACTTTTCTTTTCTTTTCTTTATGCATTCTGTCAGAGTTACTAAATGGTTGATGAGGGGCTATGTCTCATTGTAGAATTTCTTCAGCTAATAAGTGCTGAAATTACATTGGGATAACACCATTTTGCAGCCCCTAGTGAAACATTGTACCTAGTCTCCCTTCATCCTGATGGCACACAGCGACATAAGACATAATCACCAGTGGCTGTTAACATAAAAAAAGAGGCATTATATGCCTCCCAATGGAAGCATGAAGCAACTTCTATGAAGCATTCTTGCCCGAACCTGGAATCGAAATGAATCAGACTTCTAGGTGAATTCACTGCCATCCAGACAATCCCAACGCCTAATGACCCTATAGAACAGAGTAGAACTGCCTCCTATAGGTTTCTGAGACTGTCAATGTTCACAAGAGTAGAAAACCTCATTTTTCCCCTGAAGAACCACTCGTGGTTTCACACTGCTGACCTGGAGGGCAGCCACCCTACTTTTAACCCTCTGTGCCACCAGGGCTCGCCCTTAGATAAGGGGTCAATAAACTGCCACGCTTGGGCCAATGTCAGCATGATGATTTCATTAGTAGATTTTTATTGGAACCCAGGCACACCCATTTGCTTCTACCTTGTCTGTGGCTGCTTTCTTTCCGTAGGGGTAAAGAAGAGGTAGGAAGGGAGGCAGAGGAATCATCGATGAAATTAGAGCAGCCATGTTCACGATGGGCGGTGGATATTTTTACTGTGAGATGCTATTGTGTTGTTTCCAACCCACAGTGACCCTATATGCCATGGAACAAACCACTACACCATCCTCCCCGTCATGGTGTGTTTGAGCATGGTTGAAATCACTGTGTCAGTCTCCTTCAGGCTCTTTCTCTTTTTGCTGACTCTTTGCTTTCCCAAACATACTGTCCTTCTTCAGGGATTGGCCTGCTGACTTGTCCAAAATACATGATACGAAGCTTCACCATGCTTAACGACTTTGAAGGAACATTCTGGCAATACTTATTCCAAGACACATTTGTTTGTCCTTCTGGCAGTCCATGATAGTTTCAGTACTCATTACCAACATCGTAATTCAGATGTGTCAACTCTTCTTCAGTCTTTATTATTTTGTTGTCCAGCTTCCATATACATCAGAGGCGATGGATATTTCCATGGCTTCAGTCAAAAGCACTTTCATCCAGATGTTCAATATTTTGTCCGCAGAATCCTGTATTTTAACTCATAGCTTGAATTTGTCTTCAGTTTTTTAAGTTTGAGAAATGCTGATAGTCTTCCTTATCTGCCATTCTAGGGATTGTTGTAGTACTTTGTCTTCTCAAGCCATTCTTTGAAGTTGACTTCAATTATTTTAATTCACCATTCTTTTTTTTTTGCTATAGTCACTCTATGTTTAAGAACAAACTTCATAGTTTCTTCTGACACCCATGTGGCTCTTTTCTCCTGCTTTTTAATGGTTTTTCTGTCTTCATGTATGATGACTTGGATGTCGTCCCATAACTTGTCTGATCTTTAACCATTGGTAGTCAATGCTTCTAAATCTAATCTTGAGGTCTCTAAATTCAGGGTCTCTGATTCAGACATCCTGTTTTAAATCTTGATGGACTTGTTTTCATTTTCTCCAGCTTTAACTTTAAGTTGCATAGGAGCAGTTGATGGCCTATTCCACAGTCAGCCCCTGGCCTTGTTCGGAGTAAGAATAGTAAACTTCTGTCTCATCTGTTTCCTCAGATGTAGTGGATTTAATACCTGTGTATTTCAGATGGTGAGGTCCACTTTTCTAATCGCTGTTTATGTTGTTGAAAAAGTGTATTTGTAATAAATAAGTAGGTGATCTAGTAAATTTTCTGTCATGTAAGCTCCTTTATCGTTTCTTTCCCCAAGCCTGTATTTTCCATCTAATGATTCATCTTTGTTTCAAACCTTTGTCTGATTCAAAATTGCAAGTATCTGTCTATTCCACTCACGGATGCCTAGGGTATTGATCTTTATGTGTTCCACTTCATTGTTGATGATTTCCAATTGTCCTAGGTTCATGATTAGTACATTCCACATTCTGATTATTAATGGATGTTTTCGAGGGTTTCTTCTCATCTTGAATTGAGCCACATCATCACACCCAGACTCTTTACTTCATCCACATCAAGGTTGACAACATCCTGAGGAGGCTCCCTTAGGGTGCAGTGGCTAAAGCACCTGGCTGCTAACTGATCGGTAGATGGTCTAAACTCAAGTAGCTCCATGGGAGAAAAATGAGGCATCTGCTTCTGGAAAGATTTTTATAACCTTGGAAATCCTATGAAGTGGTTCTATATCATACATGGCTGTCATGAATCGGAATTAAATCAACAGCAGAGGATAGTATTTTATTCTATTTTGAGGAGGCAACTTGTGGGGTGTTGAGTGCCTTCCAACCCAAGGGGCGCATCTTCCAGGTTTCTCTTGCTATTTATCAAGTTTTCCCTGGTGTAATTTTTTTTTAAGTAGGTCACCAATTCCTCCTTTTTAATCTTTCATAGTCTGGAAGCTCTGCCGAAACCTGTCCACTTGGGCGATCTTTCTGGTATTTGAAAGACCGGTGGCACCGCTTCTCGCATCACAGCAGCATGCGAGCCCCTGCAGTACAACCAACTGACAGACAAGTGGTCAATCCACACACCTTTGGGTTTCTTCCAAATTTTACTTTTTATGAATAAAAGTATCATGAGCATTCTTGTATATGTCTTGATTAACACACACAACTGTTCTTCTTGAATAATACCTAGAACTAGAGTTTTAGGATTATAGAGTGAGTATATTTTGTTGAGCTTTATATACATCCAAGCCATTTCCCCAAGTGATTGAATAATCATGTGTTTTTAATTCATGAACAAAATCATACACATTCAAGGTAACTTGGATTACATAGTACAAATTAGGCCAATTTGGTTATGTTTATTAATACAGATTGATGTTTTGAACATATATATTAGGTCAAGCCCAAAACCTGGGCCAACCCAAATGCTGGTTGAAAGGAAATGAAAGAAAAGGTTAATGAAAGGTTAAAAATGAAAGGAAGAGTGATAAACATGTATAGCATGAAATTTCATCTGAACCATTCATCTGTGCAAAGGGCATTAAACACTGTAACTTTAATACATTCTGCCATTTGGTGAATTAGTCTTTACAGTGTTGTGAAGAAATGTGTAGAGATTAAAGTTAATTAATAGGAATTTAGGGGAAAATGTATTAAGAGACTATGTTGTCTCAGTCTGATAAGAAGGCATTGTTCATAGCAGCTACATGACAAAGATCATGATTTGAGTGAAACACATTGCTCTGTCAAATCCTTGGAGTTTATTCTTCCTGGGCCGGGCATCAGTGACATTTTGATGTCCAAGGCCTCGTGACACTATTTTTCTACCGTTTTACTTTGCTGTCATAAAGCTGTAAAGCGCTTTATTTTTTCATATGGCCAGAGAATTATCTAGCTTGCTTTCACTGTAATTTGCCTGCCTGGGATTTATAAGTTATGTTGGAAGGAAGAAGCTGTCTCTTTGTCTATTTACAAGGAATTGAAAAAACCACAAAGCACTAAATTGTCTATGTTGTGATTTAGGGAAATAGAAAGCCTCCTAGCCTATTTGTTTCTGAGTTTAAAATAAGATGTGATTTTGCTGTGTGTGTGTTTTTTTTTTTTTTTAGTTATCTCAGGGATCTCCAGAACCAATTGAACCCAACTTTTTTACAGCAGATTATCATTCATTGCATCATTCATCTGGTGGAAAAATCCTGTCCCCAAATGACCCAACAGGTAAGGGCCACCATCATGGGATTTGGGCTTTTAGATGGAAATAAATTGTTTAAATCTATTTGTCCCAACAGTTATCTCTGCTAGATAATTTTCAATTAAAAGAAAAGGTGGGGAAAGCTTATTTTCATGATCTCTGACAGTAATTGGAAGAGGCATCTGATAGGAATCTAGAAATCCCCCGAGATTCATCTGACCTAGTTGTGACAGTGTCCTTGACCATGGATTAACACTATCAATAAACAACAGACGCTGTGTGGGTGAACAGTGTAGCCTTTTATGTCTCTGGCTTATCTGATGATGGGAAGTCAAAGGCTCAGAAGCAGCCAGTGAGAGAGAAAGTAGAAAAGAATACTTTGTACTCAAAATGGAGAAAAATCTAACAAAACAAAACAAACTTCTTCAGGCAGATATTTATTTATTCATCTTTCTATCCATCAGTCAATTTAATTTTGTATACATTTCACCTATGGAGGTGCAGTAGAGCATAAGGATTAATGGTACACGTTCTAGAAACATGAATGCCTAGGTGAACAATCTCAGCTAACACAGTTAGTAGCTGGTCTTAGAAAATCAAAGCCAAACTCTCTGCTTTTGGATGAAGGCTGGCTAGTAGTGACCCTAACGAGCAGGGTAGCACGAGGTTGAGCTCTGAGTTTCCGAAACGATAACTGTTTACAGGGGTAGAAAGCCCCTTGTTTCTCCCTCAGAGCAGTTGGTGGTTTCAAACTGCTGGCCTTTCAGATCACAGCCCAACTTGCATCCACTGTACCACTAGGGCTTCCCAACTGGCCTTGGACAAGTTATTTAAACCTCTCTGACCCTCAATTTCCTTGCCCATAAGATGGAGCTAAATATAGTGCCAATCTTATTGGGTTACATTAAAAATTCAACATAAAAAGTACTTGGCCATTAGCAGAGGCTCACTATAGTTTAATACTTATTACATATTTGATATCTAAGGAGACGCTTTCAAGGTGTTCTGAAGTTTCAGAGTTACTTAATAATTTTTGAATCGCTGTAAACTATAGTTACTTCACTCAGTGGAATTGCTAAAACTGCAGCTTTTATGGTTAAAGGAAGACTTCTCTCTCCAGCCTGGAAAAAACACTAATTTTTCTTGTCCTTTCACTGTCTAATTTACGAAGATCATTTTATGTATTAATTATGAAGCATTCCCTAAGTCTTGGACTTGTGGGATAAAGCAAGCCTGTGTAAACATATTTTTTTTAAATTGCCCTTCAGGGATCTATAAAATCGAGATAAAGTGTGGTCAAAAATCATTTGACTTTACAAGTATTTCCCATGACAAGTCCTCAGGCCAACCATCTCTGATGGAAGTCTCTCAGAGGCCCCATAGTGAGGTGACTCCTCGCAGGGCGGGTGGACACCCTCCCACCCTCCTTCCCAGTTTTCCAAGCTAGCCCTGTCACTACAGGAAAGGGAAACAGCAGAGGAAGCAGAGACCGGCAGCCCTGTGGGAAATGCTTGGATGCTTGGCTTTAAGAATGAGCTGCCGAGACTTCATGCTTCTGTGTCTCCCCTCCACCATCGCCATTTTCTTTTCTCTATCTAAAGCGGCAGGGCAGTCCCTGGTCCGCCACATGAGTCAGTGCGGATTGAATGCTGGTCCATATGGCTTTGGGTAGTGTTGAGGGTGAGCGTGGGTTAAAGGGTGCCTTGGTGGCTCAGTGGTGAAAGTGTTCAGCTGCTAACCAGAAGGTGAGAGCAGCAAACCTGTCAGCCACTCCATGGGAGAAAGATGTAGCAGCCTGCTTCCACAAAGACTGATAGCCTTGGGAACCCTCTGCCCGGTAGTTTTGCTGTAACTTGGGATAGATTTGATAGCAGTGGGGTTTGGTGGGCATGGGGTAAGGTATACCCAACCCACACTAACAATCAAAATAAGTTTTGCCTTTTGGCGTCAGGTGTAGTTTATTTCCCTCTAGGCAGGGTTATGAAGTCATCAGATCCTTGGTGTTCTTCGCTGTCTGTTTCTGCCTGCTTCTCATAATTTATTTCCCTTCCAGCACCTATTTGCTCTTTTTGCCTTGTGGACGAGGGAGAGTTTCTTAATCAGAAAACTCATATGTCAGGCAGTTGTGTTTAGAATCCCTCCCCATCTGTCCCCAACACATGGCGTGTGTACACAGGCACACACAGTGATCACCTTAACTTACTTAACTGGCCAGTTTTTATACCCTGAGCAATGTGCCTAAACCTGTCTGTGTGTCACTCTGGGTTGGTCACCCACAAAGCAGGCGAAGATTAAAGCAGGGAGACAAAGAGTTGAGATACTCAAAGGCAAAATAATTTGGAGTTGGCTCGCAAGGCCCCGTCTTCATCATTAAGAAACTGACCTGTTTTCTTTGCAGTTGGGACATATGGCCAATAGAGCCTAAGAACATATGAACCAAATGCCGGACTTTCCATCATTTATCTATTTCAGGTTTATTCAGCAGCTTCGACTTGGAGGAAGGAATAACATACGAACAGATGCAGGTGAGGGTTTGGCAGCACTTCTGAATCATTTTACAATGTTGCTTACAATTCAGTACTGACCTGTTTCCCTCCCCCACGTGTAGACGGTGATTGAAGAAGTCCTCGAGGAAAGTGGCTATTACAATTTTACTTCTCACAGGTGAGACTCAGACCTTGCTTTCAAATAAAAGAGGAACCGAGATAAATGGATATGAGATCTGACTTCTTTGTGCTTGATTCCAAGACAGGGTTTTGTTGTTGTTGTTGTTGTTGTTTTTCAGCTTTCATTTTGAACATTTGAAAAATATAGATGGGTGTTTGACTATCTACCACCATGGGGAGGCTATGTGCTGGCCAGGTTTGTATGCACACAGCTGCTCCCTGTGGACGCAGAAAGGGCGGTCTCACTCACAGAGAGTTGAGTCCTTTCTGACTCACAGGCTCACGAAAAATAACGAACAACATGAAATGAAACACAATCTCTGGGTTTTCCAAAATCAACCATTCGTTTGTACCATTGGAGAAGAGCTAGAAACTCAGATCTCCTTCCCTGAAACCTATCCATTATTTTTATAGACTATTTAGGAAGGAAAAACTATATACAACCAAACAAACATTTCTTTCCCTTTTGGGGGAAAGGATTTTTTATTGTGAATTAGATGAGGCGTTACATTCCACAACGTCAATTTTGTATTCAACAGTTTAAACGACTTACCAACTCCCCCCTCCCCCCATCCCCTTAGCTTACCCTTCTTGCTCCTCCTCGGATTTCTCTTCTCCTTCTTGTGGGTTAGAATCTTCCCCTTCGCCCAAGTCAAATCACTAGCCTATTGCTTTGGCTCCCCTCCCTTGCCCTAGCCCACCTGGTAACTTCAGAAGCCGGTTCCCTTTGGTTTGAAAGTCTTCGTCTTGATTTTGTTTTTCTTCTCATACAATATTTGTCCTTTGGGGATTGACAAGTTTCACTCACCAAAACTTAAAATGGGTTGGTTGCTACTTGCAACTAAGTAAGACACTTCTGTTTCTGGTACTGTGTATTATCCTATAACTGTTACTGGTATTCTAAAAGTATACTCTGTGTTATCAATGTAACCCATCTCTAGATTCTTGTATTAATTACTGATGGGGGCACCTTGTTGGGCATAAGGTGTTTGAGTGCAATTAGTGTATCGGAGGGTTAATCTGGAGCCCTGGTGGTGTGGATTCAAGGTCCACCAGCAGTTCAAATCACCAGCTGCTCTAGAGAAGAAAGACAAGATTTTATATGCCTGTAAAATTTTACAGTCTTGGAAACCCACCGGGGTAGTTATACCCAGTCCTGTATGGTTGCTATGAGTATGATTTGACTTGATGGCAGTGATTGAGTGAGATAGTGAGTGAGCGAGTGTGATTAATATGGAGTTGCTCAGTACTTCAAACCCACCAACCTCTTTGTGGGAGAAAAGACCTGACCATCTGTTCTTAGAAAGATTATAGTATAGGAAACACCATGGGGGCAGTCCTCCTTTGTCACACAAGATCCCTCACTATGAGTCAGAATCAAGTTGGTGGCACACAGCAACATCTAGCCGGTTATTGTTATGGGCAATCAAAGCTTGACCTCACTTGGAAAATCGGGGAGAGATTTCAGAGTGTAGAATACATACCTCCAAGTTTTCCCACTCCAGGAATGAGGGGCTTCCGATCTTTATCCTACAGTTTATATCAGTCACCGTTTGAGGGCTGCCCTTAGGGGGTCATTGATTTCCTGCCAATTCTGGCTTGTGGCCCATGTGGGCAAAGTTGGCTCTGGAGGCCAGAGAATGTCTTCCGGAAAAGAAATGCAGGTCCAGGCAGTTGGATGATGGGCAAGCATGCCTTGAAGTGCTGAGTGAGGGGGGCGTGGGCAGTAACAGTGTCTACTCCATCCAACTTGACTTTCCCATGGCTCTTACTCCATCCTGAATCCTCAAGTTGGTCTTGGGCATCCACAGACATCAGCTTCCTCCTGTGTGGCTTGGAGTTGTCTAGGAAACATGCTGGCTCTGGAGTAGATTCAGGGAACTCCCTCCCTTTCCAGCCACCCAACCAGGAGCTTGCCCAGAATGTTAATGATCCAGAAGTTTTCTCTGAAGAAAACAGGTAACCGTGGTGCGTGTGAGAGGTCTCAAGAAAAGCTGGTTTCAGCCATTACACGGGAATTTGATTCTTTTTTGAGTTTAGTTCAATTTCTGAGCAATTTCTCTCCTCCTCCTGTTTCAATGAGTTAGTCTTATGAATCACACACGCGACTATTCATCTGCTTGCTCTTTGGGCTTCATAATTTACTTCCAAAATACTACCTTTGTAAATATAGTTCTATTGTGATTTGTAACTGCAGAGAAACAATGAGTCATTCTCATTTGCCAAAGGCATGTCTTTCATAGAAATGACCGCCTTCACAGCCACTCTCCTCCCATCACCCCTTTAGTGATTCTGGATTTCCACTTTCTGCTGGAGGGCTGTGTTGCACACCCAGCCTTACCTGATGAGGATGAATCTCTATGTTCTTGACTATCAGCGTTTTATTATTTCAAGTCCCTGTGGCCTCTCGTGGGAACAAAGGTCATTCTTGTCATTTTTATCAGCATTTCCTCACAGACTCACACTCATGGGTGTGAAAGCCTTCATATTTTTGCTGCAAATAAAGTAAATACCAATGAAAATCCAGATATGTCCAGACCTTCAGTAAAGCTTTACAGGACTCCTCCTCACCCTGCCCCTCCTTTTAAAAAATTGTCATTTGAGTCATGCTTTGCAATGCATGGTTAATCTTATTCTGTTCTACCATAATTAATGTTTTAAAAACTCCAATACTACTATTCCCAAAGACAACATTCCTCTATCAAAAGACATCATACGTTTTCCTTATTATGATAAATAGATAACCAGATGCATAATTGAGAAGACTTACAATTATTCAGAGTTATATTGGGAATTATGACTAGATGGGACAGGCAAAACTTAAGTAGGTTTAAGTAATGTAAGTTCGATATGACATCCAATTTTCTTAAAATGCCCCAAATTAAAATGGATCACCCATTAAAAATCCCACAGCCTCATGGTTTTAGATTCTAATAGCAGTAATAGTCTTAAAATATACCTTGAAAGGAAAATTCCTTAGGGTTTATCAGTAAAACTATCATAGGCCCCTACTTGATTAGAATTGTTTCCGTTTAATGTCAGGTCACACTTAGGAGTGCCCGGTAGTCCGCAAACGAGAAACACCGAACTGCAGATGCGAATCAGATCAACTGTTACTGCCCTGATTTCCCACCGTCAGAGGAGGGAGACCAGGGAAAGCGACAGGATATTCAGGAAATACAGACTTAAGAGTGGATTTCTTCAAATAGGTTCGATGGGATTACTAATATTAGCAAAGATATTAATAAATTATCCCTGAAAAAATCTTCATGACCAAACAGATTTGGTATGTGCTGGATGTACAATTTTTCATTTTTGGAGACTCAACAGATATTAACATATTAAGGACTCAGCTTTTCTATAAGAAAGACCTCTATATATCTTTGTTTGTTCAAAGGTTTTATAATCTTTTTGATGACACACAGGTATCCATATATCCTAGCTATATGGATAGAAGTAGAGAAGGCTGTTTCAAATCCTCAACCAGGGTCCAGCAGGTCTGCTGCTGTTTTCTTTGTCATCATCACCCGTCATAACTGTCAGTGGCATCTTCATTGCCAAACCTTACTAAGTGATCTCAATTAAATGCCAGGCTCATAGAATTCCACACATGATGCCTACATCATGCAAGTCTAAGACTTTTGGTCTAAGCCCACACAAGCATCTGCAAAGTGCATGAATTCAAGGTATGGCATGCGTTCAGCTCAGGATGTGAGGCCTTATTGAAGGGAAGGGCAGAGATGGGACATTTTCAAAATGAGAGTTGCAGAATCAGCCTTTATCTGTCTATTATCTCTCTCTGAGAAAGGTTCTGGAGCTGTTCAAATAACTTCAAATAACGGTTTTAAAAATGAGACCGCTTTGACAATTGGCTAGGAAGAATATTCGGGGCATAAACTGCTACATTAAGAACAGAAAATGGTGAGAGAAATAGGAGGTGGTTGTTAGGTGCCATTGTGTCAGTTTCAACTCACGGCAAGGCCACGTACAACAGAAGGGAGCACCACAGACCCCAGTCCTGTGACATCCCAACAATTGCTGTTATGTCTGAGGTTGCTCCCAACATGTCAATCCATGTTGTCCAGGATCTTCCTCTTTCATGCCCCTCTGCTTTATCAAGCATGATGTCCTTTTCCAGCGGCTGGTTTCTCTTGATAAGTCCAAAGTGTAGGAGACAAAGTCTTGTTACCCTGACCTCTAAGGAGTATTCGGGCAGTACTTCTTCCAGACAGTTCTGTTTGTTCTTTTGGAATTCCGTGGACTGATCTTTTGGTGGTCTTCTTATTCAGTGTCCAACTTTCATGTGCATATGAGGCTATTGGAAATTCCATGACTTGTGTCAGGGGCAACTTAGTTCTTAAAGCAACATGCTTGCTTTTCAATGCTCTAAAGAGATTTACCCAATGTAATCCATCCTTTGATCCCTTGACTGCGGCTTCCATGAGCATTGATTGTGGACCCAAGCAAGGTGAAGTTCTTGACAACTTCAATCTTTTCTCTGTGTACCATGATGTTACCTGTTAGCCCAATTGTGAGGAGAAACTTCTGAAAAATCCTTGCTTGCAAGTGATAGCAATGCTATTGTTCAATAATTTTTCCTTTCTCTTGGTAGATATAGAGATCTCTTCCAGTCTCTTATCCTGACAGCTGTCTTCCAAATCTTTTGCCATAAACAAGGAGTGTCTGTAGTGCTGTGTCACTGATTGAGACATTTCCATTTGTATTCTGTCAATTTGGGTGGCCTTGTTTTTGACCAATGAGTGCCCTCAGCGCAGCTTGGACTTCTTCCTTTCATACCGCTGGTCCTTAATCATGTACTACCTGCCTCTTGAGATGGTTCAATGGTGACTAGTTCTTTTTGGTCCAGTGACTGTGGATTCCTTCCATCTTCTTTTGATGCTTCCTGCATCATTCAATATTTTGCCCATAGGATATTTCAGTATAGTAACTTGAGGCTGACATTTTGTCTACAGTTCTTTCAGGTTCAGATGCTGATTATGTTCTTCCTTTTCAGTTGTCTAACTTTAGGTCTTTATACTTTTTCACTATAATACTTGTCTTCTCAAGCTGCCTTTTGAAATTCTTTGGTCAAATCTTTCACTTCATTTCTCCAATTTGTTTTAGTTACTAGACTATAAAGAGCAAGTTGGAGTCTCCCCTGACATCCACTTTGAGCTTTTCTTTCTTTCCTGTACTTTTACTGACGTTGTGCTTTCTTCACATGTGACATTCTGGATGTCATCCCACAGCCCATCAGGTCTCCTGTCCTGAGGGTTCAATGTATCAAATCTCTTCTGGAGATGCTCTCAAAATTCGGGTGCTATAGACTCAACTCATGTTTTGGTTCTTATGAATTTGTTTCATTTTCTTTAGCCTCCAGCTAAACTTAAATATGGGCATTTTATGGTCTGTTCCCCATTTAGCCCCTAGCCTTGTTGTTGCTGTTAATATTGAGCTTCTCCATCATGTCTTCCCACAGATGTAGTCAATTTGACATTTGTGTATTCCATCTGGGGAAGTCCATATGTATAATATCCTTTTGTTTTTTGGGAAAAAGGTATTTGTAATGAAGAAGTCATTGGTCTTGCAAAATTCTGTCATGCGATCTCCAGCTTCATTTCTGTCACCACCTTCTGTTCTTTCCTCTTCGTTTCCTACTTTTGTATTCTAGTTGATCAAATTCAGACCAAAGATGTTGGTAGAATCTTCAATTTCTTCATCACTAGCTTCCATTGCTGGTGCATAAAGTTGAACAATAGTTATATTGACTAGATTTCCTTATATGTGGGTAGGTAGCATAGATAGATAGATATTGTACTTTGATAGATCTTGCATGTCCTTTGTGATGATGAATATGATGCCTTTTCTCGTGAATTTGTCATTCCTGACAGATTAAACCATGTGACTATCCTAGTCAAAATGGCCATGACCCGTCCATTTCAGCTTACTAATGCCTAGGATATTGAGCTTTATGAATTTCCTTTTCACTTTTTTATGACTTCTAATTTTCTTAGATTCATGCTTCATACATTCTAAGGTCCAATTATTAGTAAATGTTTGCTACTATTTCTTTGCATTTTGAATTAGCACCCATAAGCAAATGAAGGCTCCAAAGCTTTAATACTGCACGGTGCACCCCAGCCATGTCATTGTACTCTACTTTGAGAAGGCAGCTTGTCCTCAGTCATATTTTTTTTAATTTTAATAAATCAATTTCTTGGGGACTGTTACAGCTCTTATAACAATCAGTACATCAATTGTATCAAGCACATTTGTATATATGTTGCCATCATCATTTCTAAAACATTTTCTTTCTACTTGAGTCCTTGGTATAGGCTTCTCTTTTTTCCCTCCCTACTCCACCCTCCCACCCTCATTTATAAATTATTTTTATTTTCATATTTTACACCATCCACTGTTTCCCTTCACCCACATTTCTATTGTTCATCCCCCATTGTGTGTGTGTGGCGGGGGGTGGGGCTGTACATCAATCACTGCAATTGGTTCCCCCTTCCTCCTCTTCTCCCCCTACCTTCCCCCTTTCCTCATAGATTCACTACTCTCATTATTGGTCCTGAGGGGTTTATCTGTCTTGGATTCTTTGTGTTGAGAACTCTTATCTGTACCAATGTACATGCTCTGGTCTAGCCAGATTTGTAAGATAGCACTGGGTCATGATAGTGGCAGGGAGGAAGCATTAAAGAACTAGAGGAATGTGTGTTTTGTCAGTGCTATACTGCACTCTAGCTGTCTCATCCCTTCCTTGTGAGGGGTTGTCCAATTGTCTACGGATGGGTTTTGGGTTTTCATTCTAAACCCCCTTGTTCGCATTGAAATGGCTGTTTGTTTTGGGTCTTCTGGTGCCTGATACCTGATCCCATCAACATCTAGTGATCACAGTGGTTGGTGTGCTTCTACCATATGGGTTTTGTTGCTTCCCTGTTAGATGGCCACTTATTTACCTTCAAACCTTTAAGACCCCAGAGGCTATATCTTCCAACAGCCAGGCACCATCAGCTTTCTTCACCACATTTGCTTATGCACCCATTTTGTCTTCAGCGATCTTGTAGGAAAGGTGAGCATCACTGAATGCCAAGTTATTAGAACACAGTGTTCTTGCATTGAGGGAGTACTTGAGTAGAGGCCCAATGTCTGCCTGCTGCCCTAATACCTAACCTGTAAATATATGTACATAGACCTGTCATTATATATTAATATGTTTACATATATACATACCTAAATTTATACCTCTATAAATGTCTTTTGCCTCCTAGTTCTTTCCTCTATTTCCTTTACTTTCCTATTGTCCCACTATCATGTTCAACCTTCATTCAGCTCTCTGTACTTCTCAGCTACATTGCACTTGATCAAACCCTACCAGGCATTCTATGCCCTCATGATCATTGATTTAGATCTCTTGTTCCCTTGTCCCTGGGTTTGTTGGCTCCCCCCTCCTTTTCCCGCACCTCCTCCTCTCCTGTGTCCCCCCAGCACCGCCGGCCCTGTTGTTTTCTGCTTGGGATTATTTCTCCTCCTCAGTTGTTTACCGAGTGCCATCCTGTCTCATCTTATAGCATTATATTGGACTATGTTCTGTTGCTATTCATGAGGTTTCAGGTGGCAAATGCCTCAAAAGAAGACGGTCAATTCCTTCTTTATGGTCTGTTCTTATTGTGGAAGCCCTGCTGAAGCCTGTTTGCTCTGCATGACCCTGCTGGTATTTGAAATAACTCTGCTATGGTGTCCAGAATCAACAACAAGACACAAGACACCGCAGTAGCAAAAACTGACAACAAGTGGTAGAAATTGGATCGGTAGATTTCTATTTTAACAAAATAGGAGATTCTTCTGGGCTTCTGTTCAGAAGAGGTAGGTCTGTGTTGAGAGTAGGAATGTAATGTAAAGAAAATAAAAGGACAAACAGACCTGCCAACCCTTATAACCGTTCCACAAATGGGCTGTAATTCATGATCATTGGCCTGGCTGATTGGGGCTGCTGTGAATTATAACCATAGGAAAATGTTGTTTTGAAAACTCTCATTGACTTAACTGGCTTGGTTTTGGTTTCTGTTTAGTAATTGCATTTTATGAACTACACATTTAGCTAACTTACCAAAATGATACAACCCTAGCATGCCATATTATCACTGCTGTTTGAGAGGGTGAAATTGTTTGAGCTCAGACAGAACAGATGATGAGCATATCAACTTGTAAAATATAGTTGGCATTCACATTAGTATTTTATTTCATAATGTTGAAATATATTTTGATAGGTAATAGTATGCAAGATAAAAAAAACCCAAATAGAATCCACTTGCTTAGTTTTATTTCCCCAACTGATGAATGTTCCTAGGGCTCTGTGCCGTCATAGGGACCCCACGTAGACCAAAGTCGAACTGCCCCGTGGGGTTTCCAGACTGTCATCTTTATGGGAGATTATTTGTCTCCTGTGGAGCTGCTGGTAGGTTCGAACCACTGACTGCTGGGTTAGCAGCTAATCATTAGCCGTTGTGCAAACATAGCTCTTTAACCGACTAATGTTGGGGTATAATAGACACTTTAGTACACTTAGGTATTTAAATTCCCATCATAAAGGGAAATCTGTTTCTATTGAGTTCATCATTTGAGAAAGACCCTATTCGGATTTCTAAAAATATATCTTTATGTTTAGAAACATTTTTTTTAAAATTTGTGATTTCTTGACTTTCTCGTATGCCTAGCTACAGCTTTTTAAAGTGAATGTGTGAGCCTACAACCGTGTGACAGCAGGGCACTCTTTTCACTTCTGCCTCCTGTAGGTACCACTCCTATCCATGGGGGACCAAAAGTCACCCAGGCAAAAGATGAAGGCAGTGCCTTGCACTGGACTTGGTTTTCCCCAGTGACGTTCAAGCTCTGGATTCAGCTACCATCGAAGGATGCCCGAAGGTTCAGCTGCTGATAACGGGTGTGGAGGAGGAAAAACCAGGATGCCGTGGTGCATGTGGGACCTTTTTCTGGGTTTCTGAAGTCCTAGGCAATATGGCAGCTGCTGTACCTGGGGGCTGTTTCCCCAGGAGGCGTTGCCTAGGAAAAGATGCCGCCCAGTTCCTCTCTGGGAGGAATGCCCACTCCTCACAGGACTCTTTCAAGTTAAAAAAAAAAAGGGAAAAGAAACTTGTTATATTTTCAAAAGAATATTTTATACTCAGGTTTACTAAAACTTTGTTTAAAGGCATTTAGCCTTTTTATGTATAAAATAGTTTTAAGTAAAGAAAATTAAATGACCCAGAGTACTATATTGGGTGATTCACTGTATCCCCCCAATTTTTCTTTTAAGTCTTAAAAAGAAATTGAACATATGCAATAAATTTTTCTTTCTTTCAAATGAAAGGATTGGCTCTCTTAACCACTTGGGTGCTAGTGGTTTGAACTGTGATACAGTGTAGACAGTATTTATAACCTTGCACAGCCTCTGGAAATAACTGTCATAGAGTCATATTTAACTTGGACTAATACACTAGGTGGATGTACAGTGTGTGTATATATGCATATATATGTATATAAATATATGGATGGGAGGTTTTAATTAGACTACTGCTTTGCTGCTAATCAAACTTATAGTATTTATAGAGCACTTTGACGAGTTCATAGAACCTACAAAAGAGATGCAATATTCCTTATTCTAAGTCCCTCCCTACTTATATGACTGACATTGTTATAAATCTGGGAAATGGAAATGAAAATAAATTATATAATAAAATATAATCTCCTTCTTTATTTGTTGAAATAAGCCTCAGAAAGAGAGATCAGAATGCCAAACAGTGTGCCACTTTGATATCGAGAGAATTTCTGATGATAATTGGCTTAATGCTTATTAGGTCAAAATTCCTTCTTTAACTGACTTCTGGTATAATGTCAAGAAATAACCTCACTATCAAATAATTTCTAACTACTTGAAGAACAGATATTTTCTTCCAAACAATTAGTAATCTGTAAGTTAAGGATCTACTTTTAATTTACTTTTCACTGAATTCTCTTATCTTTATTTGCACTCATATAATCTTAGTGTGATTGGGAGAGAAGCTGGCTTGATATATTTAGAGGTAGTAGAAACACCACCTTTAGTATAATAAGAAAAATGGAGAAAATCTCTTAAAGGAAACCCTTAGCTTATTTTTAAAATAGTGTGTTTATCCAAATTCCCTTTAACCTTGCATTAATGCCTTTGAAGATTGCCAGTGAATCTTTGTATTTAAACCAAATTAATTATTACAAATGCAGTGTAGTACATTAATGCTACATACAAATGTAGCTATGAATAATTTCAATTTCAGCATTCAAACCAATGCCCATTCCATCTGTATGTGAAGTCCACAGGCATGATCAGAACGCTGTCATTTTGTTGATTTGCTGGATCTAACATCACTGGTATGCCCACTTAATCTGATTCTGCAATATCATTATTTATACCTCTTAAGGCACATTTTCACATCATGCAGAAGGCATAGGCCCAGAAGGGGGCACACTTTCAAAGTGTGACTTTTAGTTAGGAGTTTGGAAACAAACAAAACCAAGCGGTGGAGTGAAAGCTTGTCTGATAAACTTCTTTCTCAAGTAGTAACACCTGCAGAAGAAAGATGAGACAAAACAAATTCACTCATATATTGGCAGGAAAAGAAAGTGTCTTTAAAATGCATACAGCTGTGATTAATTGGAAAGGAGAAACATCTTTATATCTCACTCTTACAGGTTGTGCAATTGACATTTAATGTGCTAGAAGCCAATAAGAATGAGCAAAATTGGGCAACTCCGTTTCCTTTCCCGACACAGCTTCAAATGCAGCAATGCTGTATTGATAGATGAATTGATCTAATAGAGGATGTCTTTATCTGAACATTGACTTTAAAAATGTAAATGGAATCAACTATAGGGTTTCCTGTTTATCACTAGCACTGGATCAGGGTTTTCCCAGAACATGACCAGCTTTCTCAGAGCAAAGTGGGGGGTTGCCATCTTATGCACACAGCTGCATCCCAACACGAAGTCAGCTTTTCCAAAGCCCCTTTATTTTCTATGTTTCAACCTAGGAATATATCTTCTCATAATTTTATTTTGGCTCCCTCACCCGTCTTCTAGCGCAAAGAAGTTGTTACTTGAGCTTTAAAGGCTTCAGAATCGCCTCCTTATTACAAGTGATTTTGTTTTCTTTCTCTTGCCTAAATTTTAATCATTTATTGTGCAGTGAAATCCCTGTGAATGCAGCTAATTCCCAATGATTGAATATTTATTTATATGGTGGGAAATATCAACCGTCTTTTCTAGATCACTTCTGATTCACAAATGCTTCAGTTACTTCTGCTTTGATCCATATATCTGAATCTGTGTACTCGAGACCTTAATTTGCTTTTCAGAAGCAAAATGTTCCATTCTCATGGAAGTCACGGAAGCAGGGGCATTTGCTTGTCAGTTGTTAAGACTGTCCACACGCTAAGATGTGTGGTGGCTACCTGTAGACCGTCAGTGCATTGGACCATGGTCTCTACACCTAATGCTCCGGAATCGATTCCAGAAACCTGGGGAGTCTTCTGCTACTTTGGTTTGAGGTGGGTACTGAGGTGGCATTGGACCGTATGCACAGCCTACTTAGGCCTTCTAAAGCAGAACATAATTGAGAAGCACTGTTAGGAAGGTGAGGAGCCCTGGTGGTGTCATGGGTTTTGCGTTGGGCTGCTGACCACAAAACCAGCAGTTCAAAACCACCAGCCACTCCGCAGAAGAAAGATAAGATTGTCTATGCCAGTAAAGATTTACAGTCTCAGAAATAGTTGTACTCTGTCCCATTCTGTCAGGTCTTATGAGCAGGAATCCACTCAACAGCAGGAAGTTTGGGTGATGATTCTACTCAAATGACATCATTGATTAGGAACTAAGGTCCTATCTAAAACTCATGACATGTTATGCCTCTTGATACTCAGAAAGAAACCTAGTCATTAGGTAATCGCCATTTATCACAATGTTGTTGAGTCAATTCTGCCAGTATTAACGTAGGTCACACATTCCTTTTGTTGATTTACTCAGTTGGAAACTATTGTTTCTCTCTCTTTTTTAATGAATGAACAATACACAATAAATGGGTGGCTTTAGAAATGGCTTGGTTTCGGTCTGAAGGCAGGGAAAACTCCTGGTTTAGCTACTTTTATCGCTGACCTTTTGTTTTTGTTTTTAATGGTGTATAATCGTGAGTGCAGAAATAAGATGCCGAGACAATGCAAAGACGCCAGGGTTGAAGCAGCAGCAGCAGCAGCAGCAGCAACAGCAGCAGCAGCAGCAGCAGCAGCCACACACTGGAGGTTCGCCTCTGAGGGGCGCCAAAGCAAGGCAGCATAATGCTTCTCTACCCTGACCCCAGTGGCTTGGCTGCAGTTCCGTCCAAACAAGAAATTCTTCTGTGTCAACAACTGAGTTTTTGGGTAGGTTTTTTAATTTAATTATTAAAATTTGAAATGTGCTGCTAATAGTATGTTTACCCTTGAGTGCTATTTTGCAGATGGATGAGAAGGCACAGATGTCTCAGGGAAACAGCTTTGTGATAAAGGAATTCTTATGTGTGTGCCATTGCAGCTGAACAGCATAGTGTCGATATGGCTGCTGGAGTGGATTCCATCCCCACTGTAATGCTGTTTTGAGATTTCTAAGAGACATAGGAATGCATCTATGAATTTGATGGTGGACATTGGGCATTAATATGCCCTCAGGGTCCATGGGTGATTGTGGTGTGTAAAAAGGAAGCACTCACCCCCTAAAATCACAGCAGCCTCCTTGGAGTTTGTTGTACATGCTAGTACAGGCAGCAATGAGCTATCACCATTTTTAAAACACAGCTTGCTGATTTCATCAAGAAAGTAAATGGACTCTTCGTAGTTGACAACTGAATATTATTCCTGCAAATTCCAGAAGCTGCAGGCCTGCCTCCCGTTACTTTTTAATTAATACAAAGCATTGCGTGACACCCAGGTAGCAGAAGTGAGTTATGGGAGCCGTGCGACTGTCAAAGCCTGCCTCTGTGTCACTTGTACAGAGACAGGGGTTTTGTCTCTATGGAGAATTATGATCGACTTATTTCGGCAGATAGTCAAGTGGTCCGACAGATGCTTAGAATTGATTTGATGGCCACACAGATGAAACTTTAGCCAGTGTTTTATGAACATGCCAAGCCCCGGTCCCACAAAACATGTTCAGAGAATGCCTGCACCCCCTTCAACAAGCCCTGTTTCCAAACCTCTACGTCAGGTCCCTTGTGGAATGACAGTGTTAGCCTGTGATTGAGTTCCGTTACATTTCTGGTGCCATTTGACCCAGGATTCTGGACCAGAACAGAAGCCTTTCACAAGGCAGGGGAATGTTCGTCCTCCGTGTGCTTTGTCTTTGCCTCACACTCCAGTCAGTCACTGGCTAAAGGATGGCTCCTGGCCAGAGAGATGGGGTGAACCTAACACCTCACAGAGGGAGGGAATAAAGGTAAGTGAAAGTTGAACGTGCTCACCGCAAATTGGCAGGTCTGCTCCCAAGTAAGTACTGCAACTTGGAAGGTAGCCCATAGACAGTGGGTCCTGACGCGTCTGGCCTGGGCCTGCCTAGTGTGCTCTGGATCCTGAGCCATCGGCAAGGGCGGCTCCTGGAGCCGCCTAGGCATTTGGGTGATTGAGGCTGCTGGATCTCCAAGAAGCAGCTAACCAGATGGCATCCCAGGGTGTGGTTACCCAGCACTATCTCCAAAAAGGCTACCACTCAGAACAGTCACAGGAGGCCGCCATAGGGTCCCTGGTGACATGATATGAAATCCCTCAGACATCACCAGTGCCCTCTGAAACATTCCAAAGACGTACCCGACCTCCTCAAAATGAATGTGCCTACAACCCCTTTCATCCATGGCCTTAGCTTTGACCAAGGCCACCTTTGAAAGAAATAAGTGGCACTTCTAGGGCTACATGCAGGTGCATTTGAATAAGCACACACTTAGCGAGAAGTACCTCAAGGTATTTTAGTTGTTTGCAGGCTCCTGAGAGATTCTATCCTTTTTATTTCTCTACAGCGGGGAACAAAAGCCATTTAAAGGACAGTCTTTCCAGTGCCTTCTGCTTACTGACATTTAGCCAGTCCTAACGGAATTAGAATGCTTCCTGCCTTCTGTCATCCTAATGGTGAGTTGGGAGAACGAACACATTAAAAACAAAAGAACACCGGCCAGCAGAACTGTCCTTGCAGGCCCCCATCCAGCAGTGTCTACTTTTCTGCAGAATTGTTTGATTTTCTGCACAGCCGAAGGTCGGAATCCAAGGACCTGTGCCTACCCAATGGAAAAATACTCTCAATTTGATTTTTGCTCCTTATTTCTTAAGATACTAGCCTTTTCTGTTGATTCCTCCCCTCCAAGACTTCACCTGTGTTCCGTCTCCCCACCTCGTCACTCTTCTTGAAGAACACGCCAGTACAGGGCCCCTGCAGGAAGTCTTGTCGTCCTGTGACAGCACGTGGAACGGACAGCCAAGAAGCCAGGTGCTGCCCAGTACACGATTCTGCCCCCGAGACGTCCACGACACATCTCCCAGGCGCATGCAGAGACGCTCAGAGAACCATGAAGTTAGAAGCCTGGGAGAAAGAAAGGAATGCCTCGCTCGATAACAGATTTCTATCAATGATGCAAGCCAGGTTTGTTCTTGCT